AATAAATATTTTTGATAGATCACCTACTAGACACTTAATCAAATTTTCTCATTTGAAATACACTTTAGTATTGAATTGCTCCTAAGTGGGAAAACCTTAGAGTTTGGCTCTGTGATAACCACTGGATCTCACTAGCCATGGAAGACAAACACATAAAGGTAACCCAGAGTGTATCTTTTTACCAACCCATCCTTCTCCTCCAAACACAATCCCCAACCAGTCTCATGAAATGAATTGCTACAAGAAAACTGACATGCATTCCCCAAATTCCTATGCCCCAGAATCTGTGCCATTCATGCTCCTATACAAAATTAAGTGGAAAAATCACTAACAGGAAAGGGTAAGCTGACTCCAGGCTGGTTGTACTGATTTACCACTTGACTCAGCAGCCTGTAAGCAGTGGTTGTTGCACAGGGTACCCTGAGAGCTTATTGTACAAGATGACCATGTGGGAAGTAAAGGTATGGTGATGCTAATGAGTAGTTACCCAGTGACTAGGAGGACAGAGAGAAATGATGTTTTAGCTCCCCACTGATATTCTAGAAAACACTGAAATAAATTCTTTAATGTCTATAAACTCTTCCCCTTTCAGTATATTCATCTCTTTACAATCAGTCATGACTGGAGGTGGAGTCTCTGTCTGCACCCAAAACAGTTTGGGCAGTCTTGAGATTGGTTTGGACAAACAGAATAGAGTAGTGGTGCTGTCCACGAAGTTTAGGAGCCTAACTCTCAAGACACCTTACATCTTAGGCCTTTGCCCTCTTCTAAGGAAGCTCTGAGAGGCCATCAGGGAAAACAACCTGCAAGAAAGACCTCCTAGGAATGGAGAAACTCAGCTGTTCCAGCTGCCCCACCTGAACCCGGACTCCAGCCAAATGACCAAGGAGAGAAACCAAGATAGACCACCAGGAAAACTGCAATAGCACCATTACTGTATTCTGTCTGTCCAAAAAATTCTGAAGATAGGAGACCATTTTTTGAGGTTTAGGACAATTGGTAATGAAGTGACATAGAATGGAAAGAGGCCAGCAAATGTAGCTGACTCTCTTTCTTTTCTTTTAATTTTAAAAAAAAAAATCTAATGCCAGAGTTGGAAGTGACCCAAGAGATGGTTTTATGTCTTTCCATCTTAGTGATTCAGGGGGTCAACTGGAAAGCCACCAAACAGGGTTATTTTGCAATTTTGAAATTCATTTGCTCTTAATTAGAAAACACATTACTCGTTTCATATGAAAAGAAATATCATAAAGCTAATTTTAAATATTCTAATGTAATTTAACATTGAATTATAAATTTGATAGTTGAAGGTTAAATAATCTTCAAGTTTTTTTTTTTCTCCCTGGGAAAACAAGAGTATTTGCAAAAATAGGAATAGGGATTTATTTTCCTGCAAGTTCTCAGGAAAGCAAAAGAAAGCTCTGCAATCAAATTATCCTCAAAGCCTTAATTAAAGTCAGATGCTAAGGGAGAGTTCCAATTCATTTATTTTATTTAGTAATCCATATACAGAAGCACCAGACAATATTCTTCAATTCTTATTCAAATGCATCTTCATAGGTTTCATTTGTTTTTATTTATGTTTATATACGTTTTTCATCAGCATTTAATATATATCAAATACAGTCATAAGACCATCTCCACAAAGAATACTGACCACATGGCTATTTTCTCCTATTGACTTGCCCATCGAAATTCTAGCAAATTTTATTTCATGAAACTACATTAGTTTGAAACACCCAACATTTTTATTATGAAGTTTTCCCAATGTATTTCTACTAAATCTTGGAAGAAATATATTTGTGTATAAGTTCAAATATAATGGCAAAAAATATATATATAATGGCAAAACCTGACTACAAAGCCTACATTTGCAGCAGGAGTTACAATCAGAGTTGCCATAGCAGCCAACCACCTACCCACTCTCTCTCTTTCTCTCTCCCTCTCTCCCTCTCTCTCTCTCTCTCTCTCTCTCTCTCTCTCTCTCTCTCTCACACACACACACACACACACACACACACACGGTAGGGAAGAGAGAAAAACAGAAGAGAACAGATACATGAGGTGGGAGGGAAAGGGAGAGAAAAGGGAAATTGCATGGTAATGGAGGGAGATCCTCATTGTTATACAAAATTACATATAAGAGGTTGTGAGGGGAATGGGAAAATAAACAAGGAGAGAAATGAATTACAGTAGATTGGGTAGAGAGAGAAGATGGGAGGGGAGGGGAGGGGAGATAGTAGAGGATAGGAAAGGTAGCAGAATACAACAGTTACTAATAGGGCATTATGTAAAAATGTGGATGTGTAACCGACGTGATTCTGCAATCTGTATTTGGGGTAAAATTGGGAGTTCAAAACCCACTTGAATCAAATGTATGAAATATGATATGTCAAGAGCTTTGTAATGTTTTGAACAACCAATTAAAAATAATAATAATAAAAAAACGAGAACAGAATCTATTGTTCAAGACAGAGGAACCCATGAATGTAATGACAGGCAGGGATCCTAACTTTCAATCTGAACCACACTTAAAGACAGAAGTTTCTGAGTGTTGGAGTGTTTATTCAATGATTATTCTTTAAACTCATCTACTTTGCACCTTCATCTTTAAACTTTGCTGATGCTGGGATTGTACAGGAGGAGGAGGGAACTTAGTTGATCATGCACACATTAGGACTAGCTTGATTTAATGTTTCCTATCTGGAGCATTCAGAATCATTGTCACAAGTAAAATTGTGGTATATATTCATCTATAAAATAGGTGTAATAAAAGCACATGTTTCAAGAAAGTTTTATGTGGATTCAATAAGTTAGCATAAATGATCAATTATTAAGTAACAGTGACAAATAATAAAATTTAAAATTTAATAATATGTAAGAATTAGTAAAGTATGAAAGTAACAGTGAAGCAATTAATGCCGGACACATAGTAAATGCTCAATAAATGTTTGCTATAATAATTATAATTAACCATTACAATGAATACCTCCAAGTCTTCTTACAGACTAGAACAGTATGTTTTATAATGCATAAGTTGCTAAAACAAATGCTTGCAGGTGGGCAACAGGCATGAGCAAGATAAAATATTAAGATTCTTCCAGTACATAGGAGGATAATGTCTTCTCCCACAATCACATATTTTAAATACTATTTTGATGAACTAAAAATACCAAGTATTTTGTTTTTGTTACATTTTAACCACCAATGGTGAATGCTAGTTTACACAGTAACATCTAATTTCTACTCATGCTGAAATATTCATGCAACAATAGTTGGAGTCAAAGAGCATTCTGGAATTTGTCTTCCATTATTGGCTTGATCACATATTTATAAGCAGAGATATATTTGCAATTCATGCACAAACACAAATATAAACATGGGATTTAGATGGGATGGCAATGAGGGAAAAGCATTTTGTGACTTCCGATTTGCTTCTTTTTAAACCTTCATTTTAAGGCAGGGTGTTTTATATTCTAGCAGGGGTAGAACATGAAGTTAAGTAACTTTGTGAATAGTAAAGAATGTACATGGGTTAGCATATTTCACATTGAATCACAGTCACCTTAGACCATGAGAAGAAAGCTGAGCTTACAGGAGAGAGAAATCCAGGGCAATGAGAGCAATTAGACCCAGAGAGTGAAGTGAGAAGGCAAAAGAGGAATTGTGCGAGACAAACTTTACAAGTTAGTAGGCACTAGAAGAAGAAGTGGATCTCCACAACTCTTCTCTCTCTCTCTCTCTCTCTCTCTCTCTCTCTCTCTCTCTCTCTCTCTCTCTCTCTCTCTCTGGAAAAATCCAGGAAGTGAGGGATAGAATTAACTTGATTTAAAAACCTTAAAATGTTAAAATGCATCCTCTATGGCCTCTAACATTATCTTGCCATTGTAAATGTTATGTTCAATGATTTATTCCCCCCTTTAAATTGTCTTTCTGCTTTGCAACATTTGTTTATTTGTTTCCATCTCTAGAAGAAATGTTACAGGCACTGCTATAATTCTCTCTGTTTTAGTGGTAGCTGACTTGATTGCATTAGAAACATCTCCATCATCAAACAGCTCTTGGAGGTTAAAAATAATCCTAAATTTTTCCAAATCATTAGAAATAATCAAATTTGGTTTCAAATTGGGCCTGAGTCTTAACGAACCTCTTGTTAATAAGCTGAAAGCAGAAGGAAGTAGATAATGGCACCATTGGGAAGAACACCAGAAGGCACTTAAATTCTCTTAACTTCTTTTTGGAGTTCATGGAAAATCCTCTGGAGAACTCCTTGTGTCCAACAGCAAGATGCATGGAACATCCTGCTGCTAGAGGCACAGGCAGATGACAATAATATTGGGGGTCAAGATGCTCCTGCTTCCTTATCTTGCCTATCAATAACACACTCAGCTGTGACCACTTATTTTTGCTTCAAGTTCCTAAGATGGCTGCACTTGGGCTTGGCTCTTACCACAAAAATGATGCAAATGCTCAAAAATAAAGGAGAAACATAATTTCTAAAAATATTTTTGTGAGTGCTATGAGGAAATACTAAAACACAGATTGTGATACTATGATGAAATAATTACCAACAACAAAAGAGCTTTCTAAAAAAAAAAAAAGCATCCCTTCTTCACCCAACCAAGGAATTTGAGAGCTTGAGTAGGCAGTGAAGAGCCTAGATAGTTCTCTTAATTGCACTGTTACAAGTTCATGGGAAGTGCTACAGAGCAAATTTGTTTCCATTAAGTCCTATTTAACACAAAGACAAATATATGCACAAATAGAAATGCTACTGGCTATATTTTTTAATACAACCAACTACCCACGCACAGCCTCATGAGAGTCAACCGACTTAATTTTATCCACCGTGTAAACAGCAATTATTAGAAATGAATTGAATGGCCAATAGAAAGCTATTAATGTCTTTAAGTGACTTTTGTTATGGCAAAGAAAAGAATTTCTGCATTGGAAGGATGAACAGAAATACACACTAAAACAGGTTTTTAATCCTTACTTACTGTCAGATACATGGCTGCATAGACGCTGAGAGCTGCTTCTTTGGATGGGAATGTTTTCCTTGCTCTCATGATGAGATCCGGGTTGCCAGTGCAAGCTTCTTCCCCACTGATGAACTGTGTGTACTGCTGGCATCCAAGTGCTGTGTAGTTAGGCTTACACAGGGCAAGAAAATGTGGAGCCAGATTTCCTGTAACAACTTGTCCAGCATTTACAAAGATATCTGTAGCAAATAATCCAAAGGTATAAATTCCTGAGGAAGAAAACAAACAATTTTAGCTCTCTGCTTTTTTTTTTTTTTTTTTTTTTTTTTGCTGTTGTTATTGTACCTCAATTTACAATAAACCAAGATGAAATATCTTAGAAACAGTAAAATTCTCCATATATACATACACCTGGTTCTATTCATTTCACTCCTCCTTAGTTTCTTCCTTGGCTTTCTGGACTAGTGGGAAGTATTAAATTATTTAACATATTGAGCTGTCTACCACTGGCTATATTTTGATGCCTCACAGGTTTATAAGATACAAAAGAAGAAAATATATTCTAAGACTGTTTGAGTAATGCTAGTTTTAAATGGAGCCACGTATCTCTTGAGAGGGTATAGTCTATCATGTTTTACTAATGTTACCAATCTTTATATTTTCCCTGCTTTTGAAAACATTTTTTTTTATCTCACTAACATAAAGCAAAGCAGTTGTCTTCCTTGATTATGTCTCTTCAGCCCATTCAAACTGATATTAACTCTGCTGGAGGTGCCAATTAGCAGTAAAATCCAAAGCCATCAGTTTTCATTTAAATATCATGGAAAATCTTAAATAAAGCAGAATGCTTTCAGATGAAGCTTTGCATTGCCTTCAGAAACACTTTAAGAGGTACAGAACAGCTTATCTTTTATGGATTGGCTTTCTACTTATCAATTGTGGGGCAATTTAGTAAATAATAAAAAAATCAATATAATGATTTTCCAATTATCTTTACAGTATTAAAATTTATTTACGCTGGTCACCAGGAGGTATAAAATTAAGTACATAGATTTTTTTCCCCTCCTGTTATAAGAACTTGCCAATTTACTTGATTACCAAAAACATTTTCTAAATTCAATGTCATTCGTCATTATTGTCAAAACTTATTTTTCTACTTAGGCAAGATAAATTTTTTGCTAATTATTTCAATTAAACTTAGATGCAACTTTCAAGGTGTGATGCTGATGTAATTCATTCTTTCATAATTTTGGAAATAAAATCCATGAGAACCTCTTAAAACTTGACAAAATTCTTCCTAAAACAGTTGGCTCATTAAGAAGTCATCTGATTTTATTATAAAATTTAGATGCTTTTCTTCTTAGTCACATATTTCTGGATTGTTTGTTTCCAAAACCTTTTAATCATTACTAACTGTCATGTGGGAAATCATGAAAGTTGTGCAGGATCAAATAATTTTCCAGTATTAGATACATGGCTGGGTCCTTTTAATTTTTACATTATGTAAGATTTATGCTTAAAAATTTATGCACAAAAATCTGCACATAGCAAATCTCGTATGTGTATCCAAATGTCAATGACACAAAGACATTAGTTCTCCTTTTATCCTGAACTTCTGAAAGGAAACAATAAGAATACCTTTCTTTATATCTCATCAGCATTCCATGAATCTCAAAAAGGAAAGGCTATCAAAAGCAGAATTTTGAGAGAGGCAGAGAAATAAGAGAACTCCATAAGATACTAATGTACACAATCTCTCCTTCCAAAACCTCAGGGCCAAGCACAGGAGTCTAAATTACAAGCTCTCTTCATCTTTACTCCTTTGAAATCTAGGCTAAGATGTACTCATTTTATTTGACTAAATCATTCTTTTTATCTAGTGTAATAGGTCTTCCTGTTTAAAATAGAAATATTTGATAAGCATATGGAAAAGTCTCTTGATACTTGTGAAGTTTCCAAATGTCCTTCAGAAATATCAGTGTATCACGCCCAAGGTCAATGTTGTAGTTGACTACACAGATAATTATTAAAGTGGGATCCCATGAGGGATTTGACCTCAAGGATAAAGTCACTACACAAACTGAGGTTCTTTTATGCAGTGATGCTTGGTTACAAACTTTCATTTCATTAAAATAAACCAGAAACACAGGTATCATGATAAGGGAACAAGAAAAAAATGAAGCTCTCCTATGTTTTACAGAGACTCTAAAGCATACTTTGTGCCACAAATTCTTGAGAAACATGTATTTAAATGCACAAATGTGATTTGGTTAAATAGGCACAATATAATTTTCTTAACAGTTTTTAGGAAAGCATCAATTCCATCAAATACTTTCATTTTTCATATATTATTGCTTATTTATTTTATTATTAAGTGTTTCTTGTACAAAGAGACATGAGTTAAGAACACAGTATTAATGCATGTGAAAATACCTTTTTAGTTTTCATAAAAAAGTTATTCTTCACCAAGATAAATGAGGACTGTAGAGATACATAGTATGACGGTTATTAAAAGAACAGCTTTGGATATGAAGACCTTTTGTCTTCAAAGAGATCTATAGCCATGATGGCATTTGGTTTATCTCTAATGAGTTTATATATAGATTAGGTCATCTAATCTAACATCTCCAAAGTTTTCATCTCAATCCCCTCCTAGAGAGATTAATAAATACTTAAGTGTTATACTATCCTCAGTGTATCTCTTAATACTGTACAGAATTTATCTTAAAATATATAGCATATCAATATATTCTCATTTTATATAATTAATCCAGAAAATAATAATTTATATTAAATTTTATGGTGTCAGTTAAAGAATTGATCTTGGCCAAGTTTTTATTGAATTGAAATAATGTTCAGTAATTCGTCAGTGAACATTCATATTTACTAGAGCTAGCATTTGAGATGGAAAGTTAAACATCAATGAGTCTTGTCCTCTAATAAGATCACCAATATAAAATATTTTATATATATATATATATATATATATATATATATATATAAATAGTTCAGAATTTGAGCCTGAAATACTTCTTATGAAATGCAGTATTTCTTGAAATTGCCAGGTTGCCAGTCTTTACCTTTATGATGTTGAACAATCTACCTCCATATCATTTCTCCACAGTCACTTTCTGATACTTTATAATAAATCATTTAATTATATAACTGCTAGTTTCTTAAAAATATCCAATATCCAAGTGTTTTTCTTTTCTTCCTTCATGTGCAAATGATACCCAGAAGAGGGATCTTGGAGCATTAGAGAGAACGTAGAATGTGATGTTCATTTATAAAACCAAATTGAAATATTTCACAAGAAAGAAAACCTAATATTTTTATACAGTTAAGACATGGGTCATTTTAAAAATTAGCTTATACATCAACAATGTTTTGGCAAGAATAAAAACAATGCAGTGAACACATACCAAGAAATCGGACAGTTCGGCGCACCAGTGGGTTTATATAGCAACAGTCTCCAGTTAAAATTGTTTTCTCCTGGTTTTCAAAATCCCTTGTGGCTAGTTGTAGGCAAAACACAGCAGTTTCTCCAACTATTATCTTGCAAAGAAATAAAAGATTAAAGGATATTAGAATGGAACCATTATAAATGTGTTTTTTTTTAAATGCAAAAAGCCACTCCTTTTGTAACAATCTTGATGTAAAACTGAGACACATTTGTGTTTATATCTTTCATTATAACTTTGACACTATATATAAAAATCGTATTTCTCTCAATTCAAGGGAGTATTAAAATGATAAATTATGAATAAAAATAGACTATAATGATTTTGTTTTCTAAAAGCCTTCATTAAAAATGAAATATAGAAAGGATCTTTAAAGTACTCAGTTATTTTTGGTGTGTGACTGAGTTTTATGATTTATAAGTGACTGTGTCTTGTTTAAATATAAGTCTTCTGTAGAATTAAAATAGATTCTTTTCGCAAAAACTTAAAAATCCGGTATAAACATACTAATTAGAAATCACAGTAATACTTTTATAATAAAAAAAAGCAATCCACATGTTTTGCCTTAAGAGTGTTCTCATCTGATACATCATTAAGAATTGTAATGATTAACATATTCTTTTTCATTAGTACATTATATCTATATATACTAGTAGGGTTCATTTAGATATAATCATATAAGCACAAAATATAATTTATTCCATCTTGGTCCCTAGTAATTTCTTTTTCCCTCTTCATTTCTTCCCCCTGTTCCCTTTATTCTACTGGTCATCCTTCTACTTATTTATAGTTTTTTTTTAATTAGTAAATTATGAATATACATAAAGATGAAATTCACTGTGATAGATTCATATATGTACATAGGATAGTTTGGTCAATTTAATTCCACCATTCCTCCATTTTCCTATCCTTTCTTCCTACTTCTTAATCCTCTTCCTCTATTTTATTGATCTCTCTTCTATTTTCATAGGAACCTACCACTTTTTTCCCTCTCATTTTTCTCTAGCTTCTGCATATGAAAGAAAATATATGACCCTTGACTTTCTGAATCTGGCTTATTTCACTTAGCATGTTGTTCTCCAGTTCTATCCATTTACCAGCAAATGTCATTATTTTTTATTCTTCTTTATGACTGAGTAAAACTCCATTGTGTATATATATCACATTTTCTTTATCCATTCATCTGACGACAGGCACCGTCACTTGGCTATTGTGAATTGTGTTACTATAAACATTGATGTGGCTGTATTGCTATAGTATGCTGATTTTAGTTCTTCTGGATAAATATTGAGGAGTAACATATTCTTTATATTTTAGTATAAATTTTTATTTTAATCTTCATAAAAACCAGATGAGACAGGGAATAATATAACCAGTGAAGAAATCAAGACTTAGAACTCAAGTGAAATGCTCAACAGCCAGTAAGGAGAGCTGGGCTGCGTTCCGGTATAGGTTCTCTGCTCTATTTTCTGACTTAAAGGACCTGGCTATCTTCCACTTTGTTCTGTACCATTTGCAGTGGTTTTGTATATGGCTTTTAAAATCACCAGTAAAATAATTAGAATATGTGTTATTATCTCATTTTACAGATGAGGATGTAGAAATTTAAAGGAGATAAAAATATTTACTTCCCTTCAGGCCAGTCAATCCAGGAGAAATCTCTCACTCATCCTTACAACTATTACTCTATTTAATACCATGAACAACAGCATAAGAAATAAGATTAAGAGAAAAGGAAAGTGAAGTCAATAATAATGCCTGCAATTTTGTCATTGTTAAGTTTGTTTTTGGTAAGTTTTGTTAAGATGCTGTATAGGGAGTCCTTGACGCTCCCCAGGTGCTATGGTTCGATGAGTTCCCCAGAATTCATGCAGAAATTTAATTCCCAAAGTCAGGTTTGTTAGAGGTATTTGGAAGTGGGCCCTTTGGGAGATAACTAGGATTTAATGAGATCATGAACTTGAGGACCCTGTGATTGCATTAGCAGCTTTATATGAAGGGGAAGAAAGATCCAAGCTACACTTGCTCTGTCTTGTTATGCAATGCTTTCCACCATGTTAGGATGCAGCATGAAGATCCTCACCAGATGCTGAGCAAATGTTAGCATCATGCTCTTGAACTTCTCAGCCTCTGAAACTGTGAGCTAAATAAACTTTCATTTGTTACCCTTTCTCCGGTATTTTGATACAGCAGTAGAAAACAGACTAAAACATCAGGGAAAAGTTTCTGGAGTCTACATAAAAAGTAATATCTATGATTACAAGATATTCAAAATAGTAAGTGACAATAGAGGGGGGATATAGAGATTAGGTGCTCAACCTACTTTTACCCCAATGTGAACAAAAAATTATGTGGCACCTACCAATTTTCATTTTTATTTCTATCTCCTTTTCCTCTTTTCATATTATACTTTTATTACATATACCTTTTTTCTTACTATATTTTTCTTACATATACTATATATGCATTTTTCTCTATTTTAATTTTTGACCCTTTTTATTGGTATATTATACTTATACACATTAGTGGAATTCATTGATACATATTCATACTTGTACACAATATGATGATATAATTTGGTCACATTTGTTCCCCAGTACCCATATCTCTTCTTCCAAGAAGGCCAAAGTTCAAGGTTAAACCAGAAGACATTGAGCTGAACTATATTTTAAAAGTCTGGTGTTGCCTTTCTGGTGAGACTGAATTGAAATAGGAAAGATTCAAACTTCCAAATTCCTACTGACTTTTTTTTTTTTTTAGTACCAGGGATTGAACTCAGGGGCACTCAGCCATTGAGCCACATCCTCAGCCTTATTTTGTATTTTATTTAGAGACAGGGTCTCACTGAGATGCTTAGTGTTTTGCTTTTGCTGAGGCTGGCTTTAAACTCGAGATCCTCATGCCTCAATCTCCCAAACAGCTGGGATTACAGGCATGCATCATGGTGCCTGGTTCCTCCTAACTTTTAATTTTGACTTTGGTGAAGCAAATCAGCTGTGTGATGAAATGATCTGGTCAAAAGAGGGGGGTGCATTATTTTTCATGGGTACATCAGCTGTCACCAGGGCCTTAGGAAAAAAACTAACAAATAAACAAGCTACATATTTGACACCTTCTTATTTTCCTTTCTGAATAAGTCATTTATGTCCTATCTCCTCTCTTTTGCCCCTCAAAATAAATAATCACTATGATTCTTTCTGGGTTTTCAATTTCCACTCCTTCCTGATCTGTTTTGCCATAGAATGTTCCAAATTCTAACAATCTACTATGAATTCCACTTCATGACTTACCATTCCCTACACAACTGCAGCCCTCCTTCTCTTCTCCATAGCAGCTGTCATGGGTGTCCACTCCAGGCTAGCCTCACCTCGTAGCACCCTGAACACCAACTCAAGCTGATGATACAGTGTGTGTATGTGTGTGTGTGTGTATGTATGTGTGTGTGTATTCATAAATATATATGAATGATATCTAAAATTCTTATTGAATGCTTAAATAAATCCAATCTTCAATAGATCTCATGTTCAATAGATCACAATGTCCTAGTCTGATTTTGACCTTGTGCCTGACTTCTAATAACCAACTTCTCCCTTGTTCCTGTGACAAAGGCTTTATCCCATTTCTTAGTTCCCATAACCAGATCTTGTATGTGCAGTCACTAACTTGATAATTTTTTTTCATTATAAGATTGCTTTCATATTGAGAACTGTCTTGTGTGGGCAACTCTTTCCAAAACAACTATTCCCAGTGAGTCAGTCAGGGATTCTCATAAAAAGCAGCACCTCTTAAGATTAAGAAAATAACAACTGTCAGGAAGAAATGAGACACCTATCATCCCCAGGAAAGGGCGAAGCACTGCTGGGCTCCTTATCTTTTAAAGCATGGTATGTGCTTTCCTATGGGTCCCACCTTGCTAGCTATTGAGAGGATTATGTGCCTTTCCCTACCCCCTTGCTCACTAACTCTCCAACAATCTCTGGGCTTCAGAAGCCAGGCATAGCATGAAAACCAGGATACCCTGCCAGGACTCTCCAAAGACAAACATAGGAAAAAAAACTGTTGAGGAGTCACTCAAATAGCAAATTCCCAAGGTCCTTAGCTTGTTACTCACATATGTGTTTCCTTCCACCCCCTACCTATGTGTTCTCTAAACAGCTATAGCGACTCATCCTTATCACAGGGCAAAGATGTTTATATAGCATGCAAATCCATATGAAATACAAGAGATAACATTTGACCAGGATGAATAATGACAGGCTAATTACGCCTCCCAAGAAGTTGAAGTGAAATGTACCTAAAGCCAACAAACGTTCCTACATTCTAGACCTCCCCTACCACCCTTTCACATGAATAAAACTAGTTCTCTCCTTTGTCTGGGAGCCAGCGTGATGCCATCTCTCCCTTCTGCTCTGGCTAGAAGTTCTGATAATCATGCTTCCCTCATAATTGTACTTCTTTCCTCAAGCTAATCATTTGCTTGGTGCATCTCAGCACATTTCATTTTTTGAACTTCTTGTTTGTGTATTGAGAATGTTTGCGACAATAGTACCCCAGTCAATGGTATTTGGCTGCTACTATAAGATACCCACTCAAAAATAAATAAATAAATAAGCAAATAAATAAATAAATAAAGTGAAAGATACTCAGATTGGATTAAGAAAAGAGAATTGAATTCCAGAGTTGGTGGATTATCTCAGAACCCAAGGGAAGGGTCTTGGAGATGAGCTCCACCCATGGAAAGTCCTCTGCGGTCCAGGCACAGGGTCTCTCTCAGTCTCAGTCTCGCTGTTGCCCTGGAGTCACACTGTCTCACATATCAGCTCCTAGAGGGCCTGACTTATTCTTATCTTTCTGCAAGCCAGTTCTCCTGATTCCTAACCTACGCAATGGTTCCAACAGCCTTGAGTCTTATATTGAACATTTCAGCTTAGTTTAAAGAAATGGTTCAACTGACTCATCTACTCAACCCCAATGCCAAATTCCCAGGAGGCTCAGCTTCAGGCAGGGCTCTTCCTTGGTTCAATGAACCAAGGTTAAGAAAGTGTGTCATGGTTTATACAATCTAGCTTCCTGGGGAGAGAGGGTAGTTCTCAG